TATCGATAGGCGAAACGAAACATCGTGACCTCCCTGGTACTAATGGTGGAATTTGACATATATTACGGAGAGCATCACACACTACTGTTCTACCCCAGGACTGAGTCTTCTACAATCCATCGAGACGGTTTGTCCTTTCGACTGCTGGCTAGTTTTCAGCCTACTTTAAACCTGTCCCAAAACATGACTTTTACGCCTGGGGTTGGCCCGGATGGGACTGCACCGCCTAACTCCTCCGGAATTCATGTTATTATTGTTGGCCTCGGTGTGGCCGGTTTAACAGCGGCTATTGAGTGTTATCGAAAGGGCCACAGGGTTACCCCTTTTCGAAAGATCCCCGGTAGTGAAAGGTGTTGGTAAGTCTGAAGCTATACAAGTACTAGCTAAAGCCTGCAACTCATCAAGCTTGAAATAGAGGGTGACGGCATCACCATTGGGGCGAACGGCTCACGCGTCACTGCCAAATGGGGTGATGGGGCTGTACACGAGCGAATGTTACCTTTCCGGTTCCTTATCGAGAAGATCAAGGTCATCGAGTATACAGGCTATGACTTGGGTGAGTTTGAGCTACGTGGGTATAACCGAGGTGACGGATATACCCTCAATCGAGGCACGTTTGTTACGGTCATGTATGAGCATGCGCGCGAACTTGGGATAGACATCCGTCTAAACTCTCCTGTGACTGACTACTGGGAGACGGACTACGAAGGAGGTGTTGTGGTCCACGGGGAGCGCTTTGCAGCAGACTGTGTCCTCTGTGCAGAAGGTGTGCACAGTAAGGGTAGGGAGAAAATTACTGGAGAACAGCTTGTTTCATGGGAGACTGGCTGGTCCGCATTCCGAGGCTGCTTGAGTACGGATGCGGTAGCGGCTGATCCTGCAACCCGATGGGCCCTTGATAACGCTGAGAAATATGATCAGACAGTTGGCTGGGTATCAGACGATATTCACTTCGCACTGTGGAGAGGGAGAAAGGGAAAGGAGCTATTCTGGTACTGTACCCATGAGGTAGGTATTTTCTTTTATCCCAGGCCATATAGGTACGGATCTATACTCAACACGCTTAGAACGAGTACGCTGCGGAAAAGGGATGGGATGGTAGTACAGACGTGGTTGAGAACGTCCTTGACACCATCAAGGATTGGCCTGTGCGCCCGCAGCTGGAGCCACTCATTCGGAAAGGGAAGGGAGGTTGGTATGTCGATCAGAAGTTGGTGACAAGGGAGCCAATGCAGACACGGCTGTCTCCTCGTCGAAGGATGATGGTTATCGGAGATGCCTCTCATGCCGCTCTTCCCTCTAGTGGCCAAGGGGCTAGTCAGGCAATTGAAGATGGTGCCGTTCTAGCGATTGCACTGGAGCTAAGTGGAAAACAAGATGTTCCTTTGGCTCTGTCTGTCGGGATGGCGATCAGGTATGCTCGCCCCTCAAGAGCCACAAATTTATCCCTTGCAGTGACGGCTTACCTTTTCTATAGACACGCACGAGCATCTGTGATCCAACGTGGGGCGCCACTAGTTTTGAAATCCATGATGAAGACTACCTGCAGAGATTTGCGGAAGGATCTAAGTGGCGTTACTCCTCCACATCCAAGTTGGATCTTCGACCATGATTGTCAAGAGTATACTTATCGCGAGTTTGCAAAGGCTGCCAACTCCATACTCACTGGCCAACCCTATCAGCCCACCAATGTTCCAGCAGATGGGGTGTATCGGCTAGAGTATAATAGTCGGACGGTGAATGGTCAGCCATGATGACTTCTTCAAGCGAACAACAGGCGCTTGGTTTCTTCTCTAGTCAAGATACTGCCCATAGTATTGTGCTGTGTAACACAGGAAGCGTCCGAGTCAGCAAAGGGGTATTCAAGTTTGACTTCGGCACATTTATTTGTTGGGGTTCTCCACCGCAATCCTGCAGGTGAGTATGTTGGTTTCCGATTGGATTGAACCTTGATTATCTATGCCGAGTCAGTCTGATGCAATGCCAAATTCGATCTAAGTGCTTAATCTGGAATGTCCACGCCCCTAATATCTATGCAGCATGGATACCAGTGCATATCCTAGGTCCTTTAACCCTTTCCATTAGATGCAGATCATGCAGTAGTTCAAAAAAGGTTATACTCCTAAGATAATCTTGGTTCTATCATTATTTTAGCCTTTACCCCTCAGTATCATGCTAGTAAAATTCTTCACGACACTGTCTCCTTCACACCTTGCATTTGGACACTGTCGATCTACAATTTTTCGAAAACTGTGTATAGCATCATGCGGGAGTCCGTCTAGGTAGTTGATGTGTCTGTGTAACTACCCTGACCAATGAACTTTATATTACGGAATTGAAACCGAAAGTCCTAGAAATGCATCTTATCCAAAATCCTATTTTCTTGAAGAGCGAGCATATAAAGGAAGTAGTCAAGTAATCGCCTGCTTGTCCTTGAACTGCCTCCTTTCAATGGAATAGCAAAAATCAGGACATACACACATGCTCCTGAATCCACACAAATCAGATCCACATTATGGCCTACCAAACAATAATCCCCCTCACACTCCTTATCTTCGCCATCTACCACGTCCTCAGACGTCCAGGGAAGTACAACTTGGGCAAAGCCCCAGATGAAAAGAAGGCAATTTGGGCTGGATATTACAAAGTATGCATAGCTTAAGACCTTGCTATCTAGAACAGCCATCTAATTACTATCATCTCCATTACCTGTGTAGGCGAAGTCATCATCTCAAACATGGACAATTCCAAGAAAAGACTACCATCTCCGCATCCTTCCAATAAGCATGCTGCCATCGCTTCGAACCGACCATCGAATAAGTTTCACAGCGGGGGTACATGATGTATGATCTTGCTCTTCTTGCCTTCGAAGATCAAATTTAGATTCAACTAACAGATATATCCCCTACAGCAACAGCAAAGCCGCTTCACAAAGACATTCGAATGTGCCGCATTCGCCAAAAGCGTACAGATCAATCTAAATAATAACCTAAGTAAACACCATGCTCTCTACCAGCAACATCACATAAACAGAACCTAACCCTCCCTCTACCTACCCAGGCAATTTGCTCCCAACAATGTACGAAGAAGTGGAATACGCATTGGACCAAGAACTGGGCAACTCACACGGTAAGCACCCACCCACCCACCACTCCGCTACTCCAAAAACGCCCCCACACCCCCATACAACAAACCCTAACAACAATCAAATCCTCCTCAGAATGGCACCCCATCCCCCCCCCCCTCCCCACCCTCCTCCGCATCATCGCTCTCGTCTCCGGCCGCATCAACATCGGCCTCCCCCTCAGCCGCTCCCCCACCTGGCTAGCCCTATACACCAAATACCCCTTAACAATGATGTCCTCAATCTCCTCTCTCATGAAATACCCAGCTGTGCTCCGCCCCCTAGCTCAACACTTCATCCCCTCGCTCCGCGAACTCGACTCCATCCGGAACGAAATCACCACCCTCCTCACACCGGAATACGAAGATATCCTCTCTGGGAAATCAGACCGAAATACCATGGTCCGCTGGATATGGGATAACTGCGAGGAACACGAGCGGACAATAACCTACCAGAGCCACGTGCAGGCCATGATGTCCATCGGGACGGTGCTTGCTAATGCAGCGGCCGCGGCGCAGTGTCTGGTGAATTTGGCGGAGCATGGGGAGGAGATGGTGCCGTTGCTGAGGGGGGAGTTTGAGCGGGTGGTGGTTACTGGTGGTGATGGTGATGGTAATGGGATAAGTAAGCAGGCGTTGAGCTCGTTGAGTATGATGGATAGTTTTGTTAAGGAGTCGCAGAGGATTAGGCCGCCGGGGGCGGGTGAGTATTCCTTCCAGTCTCTTAATGTTGTGCCTTCTAGGCAGATTTGCACATGATTCGATTCTAATGAATATTGGTGTGTATGATAGTCACCTTCGAACGCAAAGTCCTGGAACCTTTTACTCTCCCAGACGGCACACAACTCAAGGCGGGCGAGCATATCGCGGCGCCGGCGTTTCATGTTGGCTGGGATCCGGAGTATATTGAGAACCCGGAGGTGTTTGATGGGTTGAGGTTTCATCGGTTGAGGAGTCAGGGTGGGCTGTCTGCTACTAGTACTGGTAAGTACCACTATGTGTCTGTGAATGAGACGTCGTTGCATTTCGGGTATGGGCGGAATGCTTGCCCGGAGCGATGGTTTACGGCTTTTCAGATTAAGTTGTTTCTGGGGCTGTTGTTGGTGAAGTATGATGTTGCTTCTGGGGGGACTTTGGGAGAGGGGAGTAAGAATGGGGATGAGGGTGAGGACACGGTCTGGATTAGAAGGAGGAAGGGTGGTGGTGATGGTGTATAGAATTTGTTGCTGTAATTAAAGGCAGTGTGGTGGGAGAATATATTTTGAGATGATGTACATAGATAAAATCATCTGTAATCGTTCTGTCAAATGCCCATCATAAGACTCTAAAACTACTATTATTCTTAGTTAAAAGATTGAAGATATGATTACAAGGAACTACTACTTTTTTACGAGAGTTGAAGAAATTAGAAGCGTAATCCGTGAGATTGCATGAACACTATAAGAGTGATATGACTGAAATTAAACAAATAGCAGCGGGTATATATTCGTAACATGTCATAAAGTAGATCCGATTCGGATCGATCAGAACAGAACAGACGCGCGTGGCGTTCTGGTGCTGATAAGATGGGATCTATGCAACGGCCTTTTGTGCCGAAGCGAAATCACCCAAGCATGACGCATGAGTATTTGACTCGACGCGTAGGGATTCACTTTTCATGCTTGAAACTCTCAAGAAATTGGCTGGCACTCTGTTGCCAGACTGGCCCCAATTTGCTCCTCAAACAAACGGCGGAGCGATTTCTGAAGCGCTGAAAGCCTGATGGTGAAGGGCCACTAATGCGACCGGAGAAAATCATCTGTTGCAATAGAAGAACCGCAAAGATACCCAGGAATGGAATAAATCCACAAGATATAAGCGTGAAAATTATTGTAGGCTCAATCCTTCGCATGATGGTGTCTCAGACGATCCACTCCATCTCGTACGGTATCCCGCAGACTGAAGCCTCCAAACAGCCAGTCATTCGAGTGACGGCCGTAGTGGTTCACTGTGCCGCTGTAACGACGGTAGTCGTGGCCGCTTCTGCGCATGTGTGTCGGATGTACACGCTTGTTGGTCGCGCTGTCGTCGGTGGAGACTCTGCTAGGAGACATGGTGGAGACGGGGCTCGCAGAGCGACGAGGGGTAGAGTTTGCAGGAATGCTTCGAGGAATGTCGAAGCTAGATGAGGGAGAGGAGCGATTCGAAGGGATAGAAGCCGCGGTCGGAGAATGGGAGCGCGACCGGAGGAACTGTTTTACGCTGGACAGGCGGCTTGCTTTGTGATGTCTAGCCTTCGTAGCGTGGGAGTTGGTGGTGGTTGATGAGGTAGAGGAAGTAGTGGACTGAGAAAGAGCCCGCTTGAGGGTGTTTGGTTGAGCAGAAGTCTGGTGGTCGTCGTTCATTGCTTTGATTGAGGATATACCAATAAGAATGGATGAGAAAAGAGTGGGATCAACTCGTGTAAAATGAGGATATTGCATCCAAAAAGCACAGGGGAAATGAGCGTATTTATGTTCCATCGTCCCCTCCTTCCGTGCTCATTCCGAGCATGTCTGGAAGCCCACCCCTCAGCCTATTAAAACAGCACTGGCCCTATCCGGGGCATGGGGCCCCTGCCGGGAAGCCCGAGCGGACGAATGAAAGAATGCCAGCACCGAGGGGCTCCATCGATAGGGCTCAAATGGCCCCTTCTTGAGTCACGGACGGCAGCTGAATGATGAGCCAGTCGGTGAGGATCTCCAGTCGTCTCCACGCGTCTGCCCTATGCCTTGCGAGCCGGCCAATCATCGTGCCTGTCACCGGGAAATAACCCATCAGGGGGCTCCATTTTCACCGCTAGATCCACCGCAGCAGCGTCCACAAGGCTGCCTTGATTTTGTCCGCTGTTCGGGCGCGCCCGTCGGAGATTGACTGTGTGTCCTTTAGTGATAGGCAGTTGGAATGTTCGTCCTCGTTGTTTTTGTCTGGATATGAGTGAGCTGTCAGCTCTAGGGCATTCCAGACAACTTCCAGAATTCTTCCCACGAAGCAACAGAACGGGTGAGAATTCAGCCCCCACCTTGCAGACAGGAATGATCGCTCGGACTTAGCGAGCAGGATAGGAAATGATGTTCGAATTCGGACTAGGGACGGGACATAGGGCTTACGGCTCACTGAAGGTGTTTTCGCAAGTGTTAGTCTCAGCTAGTGCTGATCTCCACCCTGGTCTCTCCCTCTCCTTCTCCTCTCCAGGCTACCATGAACCGGAGAGAACACACTCACGGATTGCTTTTAATAGCAACTGCGTGAAAATGGCTCTTATCTGAAACATGATCCCTGCTCAGATTGTCACACTCCCAGTGCGGGATATATGAAAATGCCTCGATGGAATGAGTGAGGGAATTATAGGGTAGGCGATGCGCTGCGGATGGTGTTGAAAGCGAGGCCAACACAACAGCAACAGCGACAGACAGAGACAGCCAGTCTCAGACGGCCTTCCCAATTGGGACGCCGGCCAGTGACCCACTTGAGGCTCTTGAGCTCACCAATGACATCACGGCCTTTCACGTGCCCCGTGCCAAGAGGCTGGCCGGCACGCGCTTCCGAGCACAAGGAGTTGGGAAATGAGTCCTACTGGAACACGGGCAACGAACATGCTGCGACGAGTATTCCGAAGACCGTCCTTTTCTTCATTTTCTAGACTTGGTATGACCTACTAGTCTTGCTATAACAATAAATCAACAAGCAGCCGCCATCAACAAAGCTCATCGCATGCAAAATGCCCACTCAACGCCATGAAAGCAACCCTCGCGATGCAATGCGCGCAAACCTGTCAAAACCAATCACTGAAATATAACCAATAAAACAGCACAAACTAACAGACAGTGCATACAGCTATTGCTCCTCTTCCAGTGGCCACAACGTGGCGCTGGGCCTTTTCCACGACCGAGGCTGCTCCGAATGGCATCGCCGATGGTATCGCTCAACTGACAGGTATCCAGCTCCGGTTTTAACATCAGCAACTCTCCCTCTTTCAGCAATCGAACCTGAAGGCGACAAAACAGGAGCTCCATGGGGCATCCAGTATGAAACCAGCACACTTTCCCCAGTAGTGGTCGTGGTCGGCAGCACAAAGAGTGATCGGGCCTTATCCAGAGGTGGACGGATCATTTTCCGGAGGGACCCCGATCCCGATCCAGCATGATGGTCTGTGACTTGCCCAGAGGCACCAGACGAAGCTGTATCCCATGGAGCGTACCAACGTCGATGGGACCGGGCAGTCCTGGAACGAACGATCCCCGCCGATGCGGCATCATCCTCGAGCAAATCCTCAGATCCCACCGGAGTCAAGAACTGCTGCTCGAACTGACGTTGCTGCTCAGCGATGACGAGCGGCAGATTCCGTCGTTCACGTAGCTGTGTCCCAGGGCCGCAATATGGCCAGGAGTGGCGTCGTCGATGGTGGACTAAGTGTGGCATATCAACAAAGTGTAAGAGCAACAATAACTATGAAATGGACAAATCAGTCAGGAACAGGACAGCAACGGATAAAGACCAACTGACTATAAATACCAATGGGATAGATAAATAGATAGATACCTAAGCAAAGAAAACTCGAACAGCCCAGGCAACAACCAAATACCCAGATAACTCAGTCAGTCAGTCAGTTCCTCCTCGACAAGAAGAATCCCAAGGCTTGCCAACAGGGCAAGCACTAATCATGGTGAGGTAAAACAGGACACATCTCAACAAGAAGCCCCGGGGCAAGGCAGTTGGTAACAAGCCTCGCGTTATAAGAGCTCAGCCTTTGCCCATGGGTCATGAGGCTCGCACGTGCAAGGCGCACGCGTCGGGGACAAGAACACTGGGGAGAGATCACCCGGGCGACTAAACTGACTGAGACGATCTGGGGGTGGGCGCTGAAGAATACAATGATTTGAGGCACCCTTTACTGGTCATCCGCTAGTAGGGAACCGGATAGACGCGCCTTGAATTGAGTCACGGACGATGAGCAATAGTTAGCTATGACAAATGAAATTAGAGTCAGCGACTGGCTTGCGCGGCGGGAAGGATGTTACTTTACTAATTTTAAATCATATTAGATAAATCCATTAGCTTTGAAATCAAATGCCTAGATATTCTCCCCCGTTCTGTCGGGGAAAATATACAGCTACCTGCTGGGCGGGTTCTGCAGGTTCTGTCTGTAGATTGTGGTGTTCGTGCGGATCTCCAGATGAGCGGCATGATCAAGCGGGGTACAGAGTACAATGAAAGTGACTGACTAAAGTCAACGATGTCTCCTCTTCACCGAACACGGACGGGTGATCTGCAGTCTTTTGCTCTTATCACAAGCTTGCGAGTGCTGATAGCTTTGTTGGCCTTTTCTCCGGCACGAGAAGCGATCAGCACATAGTGTTTGGAGGCGAAGATGAAGAGATGTTGCATGTTGCTGTTGCATTGCAGCACAGACCTGGTTTCTCTCTCCCCGGCTCTTCTTGCTTGGTGTCATGTGATAGGTTGTTATTATACATCCTGGCTGGCTAATAAGTACTCTGGATACTACTCTGCTACAACAAAGTAGTATAGTTCTCAAACAGTCCTTCGTGATAAATGGGGAGCGAAGATGTCTACTCTGTAAGCCAAAATCCAGCCAACTTTCTCATTATCCAGTCACGTGGTCTAATGGTTATGATTTCTCGTTCACATCAATCTGACGCGCCGAGAAGGTTCCCGGTTCGATCCCGGGCGTGACTACTCTTTTTGTATTTTTCACAATACAGTCTATAATCCTAGTTTGATAATTCTTGTCTTCTCGTAATCTATACTCTTTGTTTTGATTGTCTGGACTGCCTGGTTTATTGCCTCCAAATTGGGTTTTAAGTTCCTTGGTTTCCTCATTCTCACGGTGGGGACATGGCCCGAACAGCACATGCTCCTGCCCTTTGCTAAATACGTTGATCTTGAATAAGTACTGGTCCCATGCAAATATCGTAACAGACTAAAAGCCTTATACTGATCCTATAAGCTTTGCCGGCTACTTCAATTGATTGTTCGTTATCACAGCAACGAATTTTTCTCTGTCTGAATCACATCAGCCTCGTCGTTCGTCTATGCAAAGGAAGGCGTACCTTTTAGATTGGGAAAGGTGATCGTAATTGGCCCTGTTTTGTGCTCTCTATTCTGATTCTTGGCTGCCCCCGAAGCTATCTTTGTCATGTTGAGGACCATCCCCCGTGAATAGCTGCTTGGGGGGAAGCTGACCAGGTTTCCGGCTCTGGATGGTTCAGATGGTGGTATGGTCATTGTGAGCCACCTGTCCGTTATACGGTCGCTCCAACGCGCAGCAAGGCGAATGGTATTTCCATCACGCCATAGCTGGACTTGTGAGTCTCCTTTCACTGACTTTCTAGGACCGAGGACTAGCAGCTTTTCCTTAGTCGTGAGGGATGTGGCTCTCCTGGAGAAGACCAGCTTGTATGTTGATGCAAGCGAGGACATGAATGCCATCAGCACATGCTCTTCGTGAAACTCCAACGTCATATCCTTGAACTCTTTTTCGCAGTGAGAGAAGAACACTCGACCGTCAGCCCGATATAGCTGGTCAACGTGTGATGATATGTAAGTGGCGAATAATGCACGGGGAAATCTCACACGGAGATTAGAATGGTCGTACAGGTAGTCCATATCCCTGAAGAGATAATGTAGACTGCACTGCTTCCATTCCGCACGAGTGCGACATATCATCACCGCCTTGTAGCGTTTCTCATCGGGCGCAATGTCAGCAACCTCGTAGACCTGCCCTGAGCTTTTGGCCTGAGACCAGGTGAAGGCGGGCTTCTGGCTTAGACCCAGAACAGCCTTTTCCAGTTCCTCCACAGCCTCCTGTGAGCGAAACTGGATACCAAGGCCTATGTTTGGATTGCTGCCGTCATACACGTAAGTGAAAAGTGGATGGTAGTTCCCGTCTGTTTTGCTGGACCTTTCCTGGCCCGTGTCTGACCATTTCAGCAAGATGAACCCAGAAGCCGTCGTACGGCTGACTTGTACATGACTCAGTGGCATGAAAAATTCGGTAGCCTGCCCGGGCTTGTCAGCTATTGAAGAACTGATGACCATGCGCCGGATAGAGCGCCACGCCTCGCCAAAAGACCTTTCCAAGATGCGCACTTCGCAGGATCTGTGTAATGTGGGAGGACTGGTTGACACCATGCTAGGCATCCTCAACTGCTCAACTGTTTCGGCCGGACTTTTGAAAACAACCTTTTCTGTGAATTGGTCGGAATCAAGTGGCTCCCGTATCTGGACGGCATCGAAGTATGCTTTGGGCATGCTGATCACTTGCATAATATCTGACATGTATTGAAATGAAATAGACAAAGTCATAGCGTCAAATTTCAGGGTCAGAGGTTCTGTTGGCTTTGGCACGGATAGATTGGTGAGTGATGCATTTGATACCTGGATCAGCTGAGCTAGATCCCCTGGTGCCACTGTAGATTGATTTAGTTTCGTCGTTTCTAGCCATTTTAGCCATATGTATAGACACTTACAGTCTCGTTGTAGACAAAATGTTCCGTATTGGTTACAGAGGCTAATTTTGGGCTCGCTTTCACCATACTTTGTAGACAAAAGTAACATGTATGGAGCGCCTCTGGATCGCATACGGAGCTTCTTAGCCCCGATCCCTGCATTCACGAAAGTGCGGAAAAGAACTTGCTCATCCTCTTCACCAGCATCCTCCAGTTCTACTGTAATATAGCAGAAGTTCCCTGGCTTAGCTGGTTGGCCATCCTTCCCAATCATCTCTTCGGGCTGTATAGGTTCCCAGAAGTCGAGGTTTTGCGAATGAATCGCAGCGTAATCGGGTATATCCACGGCACTAAATTGCCCAAAGTCTTCTTTGAGCCCCTTTGAACTGCTTAGCCTGAACAAAGTAAGATGTCTGCTGGTTGGCTTACGTCTGATAGATCTGAGATCATTTTTCTGATCTCATCCCACAAAAGCAGCTGTGGGTTGTCACAATTCAAGACTATGTCATATAGGATATATGACGCTTTCAGAAGGTCCACATATGCCTGGTGACTCGAGTTACATGACAGTGCAGACGGGCTCACGCTGCCTCTAGTGCTTGAAATTGTTGATCTCTCGCTATTCGCAAGGGCTGTCCTGGCCTTTACCATACATAAGCAGCTGCCACCAGGGAAAGGCTAAATGCGTATGTATATATACCTTCAGAAGCCACCACACAGCAACTAACAGCCAGCATCTCGCCGTGAGTTGCTGGGCCCGCTCTTCCTTGTGGGCTATATGATCAAAACTTGCGAGAAGTTCTGCATCAGGCTGATGCATCTTATCACGTGGTTCACACCGCAGCGATCGGAACAGCTGCTCTCGTAGTTGCCGTCGGTGGAGTTCTTGTATCGCATCAGCTCCTGAATGGCCAGGGCTACCCCACGGCGTTGACTCGCCTGGTTTTATTGAGGTTGACCGGTGAATTCGCCCTTGATGTTGGACAGCTGAGAATCCAGATCCTGGTCCACGAGACCAAACCACTTCTTTCTCCGTCGAAAAGACCTCTGGTACAACTGATTGCGAAGGGCTGTAAGTCGAAGTAGCTGGACTAGTAGGTGAGGTGTACGTAGTAGCCGTGAAACTAGACGTGTCTGAGTGCCCCGACACAATGGATTCGGAGGAAGCTGAAACATGAGAGGGGTCTTCTGGCGGACATGCGGGTTGTGGAGCGGCGGGATTTGACCTGCTTGGTTGTGTTCCTTCTAGCTCCGCTAGGATGAAGACATTCTGCTGGCGAGGCGTAGATACTGAAATCGAAATAGGCGAGACGTCGTCATGTGCCTGCCAAGATGAAGGAGTTGGGGGAGGTATATCTTTTGCCGAATCTTTTGTCGCTGAGCTTTCGGTTCTTTCTAACGAAGGCCTAAATTGTGAGATATGGTCAATTTTTTGGCTAGTTATGAAAGCTCACTTTGTGAGAGAGCCGACACATACGCCCAAATGGCATGTATGAGTCACGATCTTAGACTTAAGATCGTCAATAAATGCTTGCTGTGTCATCCAATCTATGGACTGCCATAGCTGTCTACCGTTCTCAAACCCTAGATTTCGGTACATGTCGACCACCTCCTTCAGCTGCTGTAAGGTCCCTGAGCATGAATTCAGGCACCGATGGAGGGTATGCTTGCATTCCTCATCTGACTCTGAAAGCTCGATCTTGCTGGAGCTGACATCATCTTTCAGGGTCTGAAACACGCTATGCAGGGATTCCAGGCTCGCCACAAGCTGATTGAAGCCGTCAGGGGCATCTCCGGAGATAGAATTGCATGTAAGATATAGGTCGCGTGCCAGTTTGGTAAGTTCCGGAACATCCGCTGCTTCGAAAATGGAAGCCATTTCTCTTTTCATCAATTAAGGAAGCTATGATGTATTATCTGTGTCTATGATATAAATAGAAGGAATAGGAAGTTGCCGGAAATGTCAGTTGACGAGTGATTCACGAGTAGGCAGCAACTGCAAAACACTGGTGTCAAAGCCAGAGGCTGGTTAAGACGAAGGGCGCAGCACCTAGCCAGTATCTCAGATCGATAGCTCGGCATACGTATCTTATAAACATGCAACTAGGCGTGAAAGCCACGAGACGAAATTTGAAGGAAGGATGGCGCAAATGGGGGGCTTCATGTGACTCTTTCCGATACTGCGGATGGCGCGAAGTTCTAGTGTACCAACAGAACCCCCGGTTCTTGGACAGGGCACGATAGTGTTCTCGTGTAGAGAGAGCATCGGAAATGCAACCGACGGGCAAGATCACTACGAGGCGCAGCATGAAGTAGGACAGCAGGGATTGTCATTGCAGAGCTAGGGTACGAGGTAACAGAGTTTGGGCCAAGTGCGAATCACAGTGTCAGGAAGTGATAGCTCCGAGCGATTCAACGCTCTAGATTCTTTTTCAGCGACAGGTGGTTGGCTGACGTACGGTGTGGTTCCTTTCAGTTTGCCCCAGGAGCAACAAAGAGCGGAGTCGCTATACCCCGGATCATTGCATTGGGGTCAAGTTGGTCAAATCGAACATTCATGCATAGGGTCTTAATCGCGGGATGCTGTGAGCAGCAATCAAGCAGGCTGTATAGCATTGAACTCCATATCTAGATGAACTTGATGAACCTTCTGGTCGGATCCGAGAGCATCGGCTCCGTGACGGACTGTCCATGCCATCAGGAAGGGAACAATATCCATGGGCAGATCATCAACCGCTGGTGCGTGCGGAGTCTATCTAGCGTTAGCGCATAGTTCCTTCCTTTCATCGTCCGGATCCAGTCCAGACAACAGCCGCTCGTATCTGCCAATCACGGGACTGTACTTCCCTCCCTCCGCAAGAGGGATTTTCGACAAGTACCATCAATGAAGATGAACACGACCAGGCCAAATGAAAGAATGAACAAGAGGGAGAAGTGAGAGTCAAGCTGAAAGAAAGCAAACAAACCCAACAAAGAAAGCGGTGGGTCATCCCGACCCAAATAGGTATAGTTTCAGGGTGCCTCAGGCGATGACGGAAATCCACGCGTTTCAGGGGTTCAAAAATAGCTTCTCCGTCAACAATAAATAGCATCATCTGTCTTTGATATACTACTTTTGCTTTTGTTGCTCATTGTCAGGTCACGCTGCGAGCGAGTGTCAATCACTATGGCATTTATAACATCGCTCGAGCCCCTTTGGGCAGCTTCGAGCCTCCAATTCGAGAACGCCTTTCAATTCATCAAATCCCTCGCCGGTAACCAAACCGACATTCCTAAGACAACCGAGAAAATACTAGAAAGCCAGATTGGCTGGTCCAATCCTCCAGAACCATCCAACATGCCATTCAACATCGACCTTCAAATGGTCTTCTCGCTCTTCTACTTCCTCGTCATCTTCCTGATTCCTTTCTTCCTCACTAACTATCTCCTCCCTGTCACGAGTCACTCCCGACGCGATCGCTGGCTGTTCGGATGGCACCTCTTCGATGCCCTCGTCCACTTCGGCATGGAAGGTCTCTTCCTCTTCCATTGCTTCTTCAGCTACGCCCCTATCTCCCCTAGCGAGAGCCGCGACCCCGTCTTCCTTGGTGATAGAGACCACGTCTACGGCGCCACATACTCCAACTCACCGACTGCCAAACTCTGGCATGAATATGCTCAAGCAGACCACCGCTGGGGTGGTGCCGACCCTACCATCATCTCGATCGAGCTGATCACTGTGATCTTCGGCGGTATCACGGCCTCCTTGATCAGCTATTGGGTCTATCAAGCTGCCGGCCGGCAGTCGAGGGAGAAGGAAGCGATCAAGGCAAAGATGTGGTTCATGATGATTGTTTTGGCGACGGCCGAGATATACGGAGGCTTCATGACCTTCCTGCCGGAGATGTTGACTGGCAATACAGCACTGGCTACCGATAGCTTCCTGTATTTCGTGCTGTATATTGTTATCTTCAACGGCCTCTGGGTCGTTGTCCCTGGTTGGATACTGTGGGAGGCATGGAAGGAGTTTACCGGCTCCTCTACCGTCATTAAGAGGCAGCGGGACAACAGCTCCCCCAGACACAAGCTTGGAAGGTGACTAGATGAACAGAATGTTCGAACGGACGATATGTCCACACGGAGGCAGCCCCATTACATGTGAGAACATACTCTCGGGGCTGCGCGGAGGATTATGATACCCTGTTCTTTGCGTGACATGACCTAACGGGGATGCATAAGCGCTTGTTTGTTTTTTGGTATAATTTTTGACTATATATTTTGGTTATGATTTTTGGGTACTTATTAGCTCCTGATTAATGTTCATTGCATATATTATTACATCAACCGTGCCATAACTGATCTGATCTCATCTCATCTCATCTTATCTTGGTGACACAACCACCTGGTAACCCCACAACAGTGACCGCATAAACAGCTCAATCTAGACCACACAACCATCCATAACCAATGAAAGCCCAGAGTTGACCGAGATGTCAAACAATCGCGAAAATCCACTCTTGAGGGGCCAGCCAATAGCTGTATGCGCCGGAGACGCGTCGACGCGAAATGCCGAGTTAATCTAATCTATGACTCACTTGGATCATTACAAGTGAATGACAGCATCCAGCTGACTGGAATAGGTACTTACCGTGTTACATGGCCCATTCTTTGCAGTCTCACAAGCATGCGTATGACTCACACAGAGAGAAGAAGTAATAATGTAATACAAGGAAATACCCATCTACCCAAACTACAAACTGAACAGGTTCCAAATCGGCCCCATAGCCAACAAATCCTCCATACTAACATCAGGAACCGCTCCAACCACAGCAGTCCCAAGCCCACTTGTAGAAGACGCCGCCATCTGGACCTGCTCCTGATTCCACCTCCACTTATCCATAGTAACGCAGCGCGCCTGATGCGCCTCCTTCCACATGATCGTCCTAGCTTTAATATGCGTAAAGATAGGCGGAACATAGAGATTTTCAGCCGTCGCCTGCGCAACAGTTTCGTCGACTTTCAGCGAGAACGTGTCGACGGTGTTTTCGAAGCTTATTGTCTGCCGGGCCCACTCTCGGTCCCAGCAGCCCGTGGGGTCATTGTGGACGAGTAGTCGAGACAGGATGGCGAGGCCGTGACCGACTTGCGTCCAGCAGGTGTATGGGAGTTGGAGGTAGAGGATGGGTGGGATGGAGAGGAGGGTGTCGAATAGGGATCGTGCGGCGTTGAGGCAAGCGCAGAGAATGTCGATTTGGGTGATAGGGTAGTTGTTGAAGGTTGTGTCTTCGAAGTCGCGCTCTAAGGCTATACGGTATAGGAGCATCTCAAGGGTGTGGTAGTGCATGTTGAGGATTACTGGGGTGTGTGTTAGGTCCGAGGGGGGTTGGGTTAGGTTAGTTGGGGGACGTACGAGTTTGAGTGTATTCGCCTGAATATGAATCTTTGAGTTGCTGGATTTCCTTCTGTAACCAGCGTATTGCCATAGCTTTGGGTGCTAGGCCGGTAGGGGTGTCCTTTTCGTGGTACTGGACGGCGCGATATATTTTCTCGCCCATGTGGGCTATGCGAACTAGCTGCAGGAGGTACGGGTCGGTTTCACATTCGGCTGCTTCTTGGATTCTGCGGCAGCAGTCGTCTGTGTATGTTGTGTATTCCATGGGTTCCTTTTCTCCCAGGCATAGTGATAACCTGTTACGGTCAGCGTTGAGTGATGTTGAATTGATGCTATGGCTTACATATTGACCATGTAATAGCTGCCAAGGTAAGCTCTCAGCTCCTCTAGGCTGCGGGAATTGCGCATGCGTTCATCATATTTGAAGACTCGGAGGTAGGAGAATACCGTGCCCGGAGTACACAACTTATTTTCCCGATGAAAGTCGAGGTTGATCACCTGCGCCTCCAGAATATGGAGGTAGTTATTGATCATCGTCGCACGGGGCGCAGGAACCATGGTCTGTGTCCTGATGAAGTGTGAGAGGTCTGGATATCATACGCTGCATGTAGATGCTCTCTCACCAGCCAAGGTACACGAGGAATCCTTGAAGTAGATCCAAGCTATGCTCCCCGTTAGCTAGCATATGCTCCATCCAGTAGTCTCTAGCTTTGATTGAATGAGCCACCTGTGAAGATCCATCTTGACAGACAACCGCCGGAATAACCAAGTTCAGGAATGGCTTTATAGTGCGTAAGTCGTCCAGACCTATACGAGGCGAGCGTACCACAAACGGAAGGAAGTTTGTGATACGCTCATTGAAATCTGCAAGCATTTTCTCCACATCCTCATCCAGTACAGGAGGAAGAACCAGAGTGTTGTCAGTGGCAGACAATGGACTAGCATTGCTGCCACCGATGCTTTCTATGTACCGTTGCGAGGCTGTGAGCAGTGAAGTCACATTATCGAGCTTCTTTTCTAGTCGACCGACGTCACTACTATATGGACTAGTCAGTAGCCATTAGTATTAATTCATGCGCACTCGCAAACACATACGACACATTATGCCGCTTTCCCGTGTACGGCTTTGAAGCCTGCCTGGTACATTCTTTCCCCAGGCGATGACATCTGGCTCCATCGTTAGTGCTTATCCTTTGGTCGGGTGGCCTCGTCCGTCTCTACCTTTGGCAAGCATCGGTCGGACCGGGGTCGCAGCGGACCTTGGCTTTGGAACACGGTCTGCAGGCTTTGAGATGTCGAGCGTCAGTAGTGGACATGTCGGTCGGGAACGGAACAGGGTGGAGGCGTGGTTGTGAGTTGAAGATGTGCAGAGAGTGAGATGGTGGTTTGTGCCGGTCGGCATAAGCGGCATCCCGCGTCCGTGTCGGCATTCTTTAGCACCGATTGTATAGATGTCAGATACAATAAACTTTACCCGCAATGTTTCAGGATATAAATGGAGATTGGACGCCCTTTTCTTTTTCGATGACCAAGAAGAACATATCTAAAATTCTTGAAGACTTCATTCACCAACACAATGACCGTGACAGACGACTGCACCCAACGCTATCCAGAAACCGGCATATCAGTTCTGATAGTCGGGGCCGGGGTCGCAGGACTAATGGCTGCTCTCGAATGCTGGCGCAATGGACACGACGTTCGAATCGTCGAACGATCTCCCGAAGAAGTCACTACAGGCAAGCAAGCCATAGTTGCGACTAACTCGTTTAAACACATCGCAGCTAACAAACCTACCAGGTGACTCGTTCACAATCGGCCCCAGTGCAACCCGTGCGTTCAAACATTGGCCCAAACTAGCCGAAGAGAACGAGAAGATTTCATTCATACCTCATCTTGCCTTCTACACTTTGAGTGGTGATCGTATAACAGAGCCGAATCATGTTAAATATAGGCAGGACAAGGGTTCCAAAAAAGTGCCAGGGCAACTCACCCGCCATTGGAGACCCCAACTTCACGGCATGCTTCTCAAGCAGCTCTATGCCATCGGTATTAGCGTCGACTACGGCTGCAGAGCGGTGGAATATTTTGAGCAAAGCCATACTGGGCGTGCAGGTATATTATTGGCGAATGGCGAACGGCTAGAAGCAGACGTCGTCATTGCTGCCGATGGGTTGAGAAGCCATTCGACCAAAGTGACACTGGGGCAGGAAATTCGGGCACGACCAACCGGACAAGCTTTTTATCGGACAGCATTTCCGGTTGAGATAGCCATGAATGATTCGATGGTTCGAGAGCGATTTCCGGTAGTAGGCGAAAAAGAAGGACCGATAGAATTCTGGGCTGGGTATGACTATACCTCCACAAGATATCTATCGCCGTTATGATTAATTCATACTGATTGAAAAAGCGAGCACTACCATTTCCTCGTCATCAGGACATCCGATACCATGTCTTGGACTTTATCCCATAAGGTGAGTCAACTAGACATTTTGCCCTAACAACGCACCAATATATAGTACCCCTGCCTCTTTAGATCTAACATCGCAAATAACCTTAGGACTACGAAAGCGCTACCGAATCCTGGTCCCACCAATCCGACCCCGAAGACGTTCTCAAAATAACTTCGACTATCCCAGACTGGCCAGAAGTAGCAGATCGGCTGATCCGTCTCACGCCCAAAGACAGACTCCTCCATTTCCGCGTCATGTGGAGAGATCCCCAACCCACCTGGGTCTCGCCAGCAGTCCGTATCGTACAGATCGGGGATGCCGCACACACATACATCCCAGCGTCAGGCAACGGCGCAACACAGGGAATAGAAGATGCAGTGTCGCTGGCTACATGTTTACGAATGGCAGGAGGAACAGAGCAGGTACCATGGGCGTTGAGGATCCACAATCGGCTACGGTATAACCATTGCTACCCCTCTCAGTGAACCACTTCTTACTGACGATTCATCTAATCCACCCAGCTTCATCCGAGTCTCCTGCCTCCAAAAGCTAGGCCTCATCAATCTCAAAAGCTACTCCGAAAAGCCCAAGAAAGACAACTTCACACCAAAAGGGCTCCAGTATCTAACAGCGGAGTGGATCTGGGGCCATGAGCCGGAGACATATGCCGAGGAGAACTACAGCAAGGTACTGGATCATTTGCAGCGGGGCACGCCCTTCCAGGATACAAATATACCCCGCGGTCATGTGTATCGGAATTGGACGATTGATGAGATGTTGGAAATACAGGAGAGGGGAGAGGAGATTGAGTTGGATGGGGAGTGGGAGTAAATCTGCTTTCTATAGCCTTGTGTTTATACCCAGTATATACTACCTATTATTACAAACAAATCTTAACTGAATCGAAATCCGTACAAGAACCATGCTAACGACGAATCTAGAACAACTGCAATTGGGAATCATATACAACTCTCAACCAAGACACAACATATATACAGGTAAAAAGGAAAAGAAGCTATCACTTCCTAGCAAACCGACACCAATGATCGCTTACCACCGGCGGTACTACCCACATCGTTAGCACAAGAACAAGAACAAATCGGCGAGTGCCATATCTAACATACCTCAGGAGGTCCCGGAGGGGGAGGAGGACCAGGAGGACCAGGACGGTCCCAAGGCCCGGGGGGGCCAGGAGGAGGAGGGCCACCATGAGGGCCACCAGGGCGATCCCAGGGATCCCTAGGACCCGGAGGCGGAGGAGGTCCCGGGGGGCCACCGGGGCGATCCCAAGGGTCTCTGGGGCCTGGGGGAGGAGGAGGGCCAGGAGGGCCGCCAGGACGGTCCCAGGGATCTCTCGGTCCCGGAGGAGGAGGGCCGGGAGGACCACCGGGACGACCCCAGGGGTCTCTTTGATCAGGAGGGGGACCAGGAGGGCCAGGAGGGCCAGGAGGAGGAGGACGAGCCCAGGGGTCTCTGGGATCATGAGGAGGGCCAGGCGGTGGTGGTGGGCCACCAGGACGGTCCCAGGGCCCGGGGCCGCCTGGAGGGGGAGGGGGCCCCTGGGGACCGGGAGGAGGGGGGTTGTTGTGGTGGTGATGGTGTGAGAAAAGTCCCATTGTGAATTAATAGGTTGTGAGGATGGATGTGAGTGCTGTGTAAGGATGGAGAAGGTTGTTAAGGTCTTAAATAACCACGTTGCTTAAGGCTTGGGAGGCGGAGTGGGGAGAGGGGCCACAGCAGGCAACGCCTTTCTTAAAGCAGATGTGTGACGGTAATTATAGCATGTATGATATCGTTTTGAGTGTGTATGGGGCTCTTTTGTGGCTGGGTTGCTAACTAAATACTATGGGCATGAGACGGCGGTTCTATGTTCAACCAACTCTTCCGTTCTCCTCCGCGTTTTACATTGTGTCCCAATGTCTCAAATTATTAGGGGGAAGAAATGTAAACAATGTTGCCTATCAGGGGCTGTCAAACAAGTCGAATCCATGGATTAGACTGGGGAATATTATTGAGACGAAGGGGGGCGCGTTCTAATACCAAGTTTAGGGTTCGTAGTCTCCATATTTTTTGGTACGTTGGTTCCTGACAAGCCGCGCTGTGGGAAAGCCTGCTCATTTGAATGTGGATAATATTGATCACTAAATTGAACAAATGGTCATGAAGCAAAATACATACATTCTCAGTCCAGCATGTCCAAAATTAACTCTCAATTACTCACACCTGATATCATTCCGATTTCCGAAGCAAGAAGTGGCCACACGTCGACGTTCCCCATGAGAGCGTTTAGGGCACAATTAGCGCCTCGGAGTGGATCGGAGCATACGTATGGCCCCCCCACTATCCCCTCAGCCTTGGGAAGGTTGATGTACATTATCAGTTTATTCTACTGTTGTTCGAGAAGAAATCTAGAGGCTAAGCCACATCGTCGTTTGGGAGACTGCTCGCTGACGTGTTGCTTATCTGTTCTGCATACATGCAGGTGTCAACCCACAAAGATTGCCACATTGCTGGGCTGAACATGTCAATGGTATCGAGTAGCAGGAGTTCGAAAGCTTCCGGGTATAAATTTATCCGGTTGGCTTCGCCTCAAACAAGTTTGTCAGGAGGTCACGGTACTGGTTAAGGGGGAGGAGCAACAACTCCTGTGAACGGGTCCACCGAGATTACCCGTGCATTAAATTCCGAGGGTTAAGCCTACGAAATATGGAGTCACAACACGAAGCATAATGTCAACAAGAGCACTTAATAGGATATATGTAGAAGGTGTCTGTCAGTGTGAAGGCGCTCTCAGAGCGTCCTGCTAACATTCCCTAGATCCGGAACATTTGATATCTATGTACATGCATCTCATTCCTCGTCTTCCTCGTCGCTCACTTCTTCACCAGCTTCAATAGCCTCCTGTCTCCTCTTCGCCGCAAGTTCCCTCTTCCTCTCTAGAAGCTTCTTCAATCTCTTAGCCGTACTGAATAATCCATTCGTGGCGGATCCACAGGCTGCACAGCTTGGATCCTTCCTGTACCTTTGCAGAGCACACTGCTCGCAGAAGTAATGACCGCATTTCGTGACGATAGGCTCCCTGTATGGCCCCTTGCATATGAAACAGGCAAACGGAATGTCTTCCAGCATAGCCTCTTCATCATCATCCTTGTTCTCCGTCGTTGTCCGGTCGGCACTCGCGACCACTGTTCCCTTCAATTGTTTGCCCTTGGTGACGGTCTCCCATTCTCGATCAAGTTCCCATCCTTGTTTGTAGTCGCTTCGATCGTGAAGGAATTTACTATACAATGATGGTTAGCATACGTTTCAAGAAGAGGGTATCCCTGTCAGGTGGCAAATATGTCTGTCAAGGGTAAGGGGTGATGACACTTACCAGTTATCACCGAAACCACAGAACCCAGTCTGCTTGTAATCCTTGCACACATCCGGTGAGTAATCTGTCACCGTTATGGTACGGATATTGGTCGCCGCCTTGATCGGTCCAAATGACCTGTTTGGCGCATTCGGATTCTTCTTAATGAACGATGTCTGGTTCGCCAGTCCCTTATATGTGCCATCCGGCATCTGCGGCTCACTCGAGGTAGCTTGAGCTTTAGACGAACGCGCATCCTTAGAATCCTCGTCGAACCAGTCGACATGTTTTGTGGCGTCGTTTGTATCTGCGAGCTGGACTTTGCCATCACCAGTGGCGGTGGTCGCAGGTTCCCGATCGACAGGCTTGGTGGTGGCGGATGAAGCAGAGACGACCCCAGCACCCTTGTTCTTTCTGCGCTTTATCCGGTGACCAGATTCGTCTTCAGAGGAGGAAAAGTCGGAAGAATCGTCGACTTGCGATACGGGAGGCGGTGCTGGTCTTTTGCGGATGTTCTGACTGGCCTTTGCGCCACGCTTTTTGAAAGTGACAACCGGTGGTTGAGGGTCTGCAGCAGCAGCTGCTGCATTCTCGTTTGTCGCCTCAGCCATTGTGATAAGAGCGACGGGTCTGCGACGGGGATTCGTGAGTTGATGCGAGTTGAGAAATGACCAAGCACATCAAGGACGCGATAAACGTGATGCGCCCGGATCATGTGATGATAAGATAGAGTTGTCGCTCACGTGATTATACATCTGCTGATGTCATCATCGAAGACGCGCGAAACTTCCTGAGTAACTTCTCATTATCAATTGAAAAAAATGAAGTTTCGTACACCGAGGACCAAATCCGCTAATTACCGTGTTTGCCTAGTGAGCGCCTTCAGCAGAGTTTATGCCCGGCGTCATGGCGCAGGTGCGTCAGCCTTGTGCTGCGCCACGGCAGGTGCCACCGAACTGGTGGTGAAGCGCAGATCATGTGTTTCCAGCATAAACTTGACGAATGCCGGGTGATTGGAATCGCAGATGAATGAAGTTTCTCCGAGCAATTGCTCATGACAGTTGCCTGATTGGTTGCGATCATCATGACTTGATGCTTGACTATTGAGAGTGAGAAAAAGTAAAAGACCAAAAAGGCAGCAAAATTAAAAAAGATTTGCTCGATCTCGGGATCGAACCAAGGGTCCCGTGGGTTGTAGCCTTAACCACTGGGCCAATGGAGCACAACCAAGGTAAATCGGTGTTACTGCCGCATGCCCGACCATAGTAGTTAGCACTCAGTCCAGTATGAGTAAGTAGCATATCAAACCAGGGTAGTCCCTGCCTGCTTGACATGAACTTGGTGGATCCTGCTAAACTCTTCCGATCCCACGGTTCCTTCCCAAACTGGGGACCTTCGAAGAGGCGGTGCTCATCATGACTTCGCTCCGCCTCTGTTCGCGGAATAAATACCCTGGCCCTCTCCTCTCCCTGAAGCTTCCTCTTCCTTCTTAGTAACAGATAGATTCTCCTCTATTCCTATACCATCATGTATCCCCATCAGAACCGTATGTGATGCCCCACAATTGTCCCCGCGTTCCTGCATCATGCTGATCAAGCCCTTCATCACAGGCCCTCCATATCCTCAATTTACTGGCCCGCCGCAGGGCTACGGTCAACAACAGAACCCACCACCATTTCCTCCTCAGAACCAGCACCACATGGCCTCTCCACCTTACCCGAATCAGCCTGGCTACCCTCCCTACGGCGCTCCACACCCTAATCAGCCTCCATATCCTCATACCCCGCAAGGCGCTCCTCCAGGTCGACCAGATATGTACCATGGGGGTCCACAAGGATATTCGCAAGGCTTGCCTCCTCCACAGGGCGCTCCTCATGGGCCTCCTCAAGGCATGCCTCATGGATCGTTCGGTGCGGCACCTCCCTTGCCACCACACCCTCAATCTTATCCCCCGCTTGCGTCCGTGCCATCATTGGGTTACGTTCGGGGTCAGCAAGCAAACGGGGACTTCCGACCCCAAGCCGATCAGCTTCGTCGCGCAATGAAAGGCTTCGGGACAGACGAGAAGACCCTGATTCAGGTTCTCGCCAAGCTAGATCCTCTCCAAATGGCCGCCGTACGATCCACCTACACACACCACATCCGTCGAGATCTCTACAAGGATGTCAAAGGCGAGACAAGCGGCTACTTTCGTCGGGGTCTCCTAGCTATCATTGATGGCCCGTTACAGTACGATGTGGCCTGCGCCAGGGAAGCTGTCGAAGGCATTGGGACGAAGGAATGGCTTCTCAACGACATCCTTCTATCCCGGTCTAATGCTGACATGAACGCCATAAAGGCTGCTTATCACCAGACATACCACCGCGCTCTCGAAAAGGACGTTGAAGATGACTTGTCATTCAAAACCCGGAACTTGTTTACCCTGGTACTTCGCGCCTCTCGACACGAGGAATCAGCCCCATTAGACCCGCAACTCATCGAAGCAGAAGCCAAGTCCCTTCACCAAGCAACGGCGGCGCGAATGGTCAACAACGTTGATGAAGTATGTGGTATCATAGCCAGGGCCTCCGATAACGAGCTCCGTGCCCTCAATCATGCGTTCTATAATCGTTACAACATTCAATTGACCAAGCACATCGAGAAAGAGTTTTCCGGGCACATGAAGGATGCACTGCTGCATATGCTTGGGGCTGCGTTGGATCCGGCCATGCACGACGCTGAGCAGCTCGAAGACTGCATGAAGGGAATGGGAACCAAGGACGAGAAATTGGTGACAAGAGTGGTCCGCCTACACTGGGCGCCTGGGCATTTGGACCAGGTGAGACGGGCATATCGCCATCGGTTCCATAAAGATCTTATCGAGCGGGTCAGGGGGGAGACCAGCGGTGATTACCAGCGACTGATGGTTGCTTTATTGCAGTAGCCGTACTTGCTATCGCTTTCTTAATGTTCACTCGACGAAACAGCCATGACTTACGACTGGGCAGGGTATGGTATGGTGCGGCTGGGTCTGTTTCTGCATTGTCGTTATGGGCGATGATAGACTGGGCTGGATGGCTACCTCTCTTTGCCTTATTTAGTTTACTGAATTGCGATGATTATCATCAACGCGGGTTAATCTTACTTAGCTA